GTTGAAACGAAAGTGAGAGTATTTGAGCTAGTTGTTTCTAGAGAATAGATTGGTTTTTTTTGAGCTGCGCGACATGGGGATATTGAATCATTGGTTGAAACGAAGCCGAGAGTATTTGAACCATTTGCTTTTATCAAATAGTTATTTTCGATGCTCGTGATATGGAGAATTGAATGATTGATTAAATGTTTAGTGTTAGAAAATTCGTTATTAAAAACTTGAAACTAAATGACTTATGCTATTCAGAATAGCAATCGATTTATTTTTCGATTGATGAAGTAATAGTTGAGCTATAAATTGATTGCTGATTATCTATTCGATAGACTTATTGTAAGCAAGTTTATCAATAGAAGATTGCAGTTTAGAATTCGGAATGCTCATTTTTTTATAAGAGATTTACATGAAAAAAAAATACAGATAATTTATGTAATTAAAAACAAGCACACATAGAATGTGTTTCTTGATCAGATGTTCCATAGCAACGAACATCAATCGATTAATTATAAGGAGATGAATAAAATTCATAAAATTCTAATAATCACTAAATAAGAATGTTTAAAAATGAAAATTTTCTATATGTAAATATTTTAAAATAATTCAAAATAAATCATAGAAGCTCGACCAATCATATAAAATCGCTTAAATTACAAAAGTTGAATACAATAGTAAATAAACATTAATTATTGTGTGACTCATCCTATTAACATGCATTCCAAACTCAACTGAATTCTCATGTCAACTGTGACATATATATTATAATAGAATTCTGAAGATACCTGACGAGTTCCTTTGAGAAAGGGTCAAAACGATGGTCGTGCCGACCTTTGAATTCTCCAATTCTTCTACATTGTAGTTGTTATTTAATGACGTTTAAATCTTAACTTCCCCATTTAATTTAAAGTGGGTTATGAGTTATATGTAATGATGAAATTCTAAATATACTTGATGGGTCCCTTAAATTGGAACTAAAGACAATAGTTGCAACAGAGAATAATAAGTCAATCAATTATTCAATTCTTTTCGAAGTCATTTTTGGTTTTATGCCTGACAATAGTTCATTCGATGTTATTGAAATCTAAGTGACTATTTCAACAACATTTATCAATATCGATTGTCCTATACTTTTACTAATGGTGACAGTTTTATTAGTATGAAATCACAATCAACTTATGTTAATGTGTATGACTACTGGTCGTATACTGATGTATGCTCTTTAAATTAGAATAATTTTCTAAGTTAATGCTTTCACTTGGTTTACTGTAGAAGAGATCTTAACAAAAAAGTACAAGTTATTCATAGATATTTAAAAGAAATTATAGATTGAATGAGAAAAACATTTCCCATAGCTAACTAAGATTTGATTATTTTATTTATTCTAGAAACAAATTTATTGAAATTTTAAATGCTTCTCATAAATAAAAGATATGCATTCTTTTTGCGTCATGTATTCTGACATATTTTATTAATTAAAATAAAAACTATTTACAATTGCACAATAAAAATGATTATTGAATTTTTGCCTACCTCTAATTATGAGATAAATCTTTCTAATTTGGTTTTGATGGTTGGGATAATTGTATTCTTCTCGTATGAGTTTTATCCATCATTTTTGAAGTAAGTAAAAAATCAACAGTAGCAGGAGTTGTTGCACAAACAATACCATAAACTTGTGCTAAACGAAGAAGTGCTTGTACATCAGCAGTATGAGGATGAGAATCCAAAGGATCAATGAAAAAAATGAGAACATCAAGTTCTCGTAAAGTAATTTTTGCTCCTATTTGTTGATCACCACCTAAAGGACCACTTTCAAATTTAGTTACAGGTATTCGAAGTTCTTTTTCTACTAATGATCCGGTTGTACCAGTACCATAAAGTTTATGTTTAGCAAGAACATCACGATGTTGTCGAAGACATTCGATTAGTTCTGTTTTTTTATTATTATGAGCAACAAGAGCAATTCGTTTATGTTCACCCATAACAATGAGATTCGATACATCCTAAAAGTAATGAGAATATGTTTTCAAAATTTTAAATATTTCAATTACTATTTACTTTCTGAACATTTGATCCATTTTCAAGATCATGAACCAATTCAGCAAGATGTTGATCATTTTCTTGTCTTATAAGAAGACTAGTCAATTGTTGATAACCACCATTTGTTAGATTTCTTTCACGATCTGATAGAACAAAATATAATATTAACAGAAGAAACAATAAATGAGTAAAATACTTACCATTTCTGCTAAAAAACTCTTGTACAGCGCTCTAAGAAAAAAACAGAAACGAAAAATAACTTTATTTCAAAACGAAAGTAAGAAATAACTCACATTTAAATTCCATTTGTGTTGATTGAGAATACGAATTGAATCTTCGAAATTGAAACGAGTTACAGCCTAAAATTATGAGAAAATTAAATTGAAAATAATTACAATAGTGAATTTTACTTGAAAATAATCAATAATTTGTCCTTTTGATTGAAATCCTACTTCATTTCGTTCCATTTTATCAAAAAAAAATTTAAATCTAACTATAATGAAAGGAATCGATTAATAATAATTCTATCTTTAATAATATTCGTTCTTGAAATACAACAGAAAAAGATTTTTGTGAGATTTTTGTACACACAATAAAAATCTTTGATTGTAACTAATTATTTGAAATTAGTTTTTATATCATATCTACATACCTATAATTAAATTTGGATGCTATGAATATTAGAAGTGTAATGTAAAATAAAAATATTTTTTCTTTATGTAACAATGCTTTTATAGTAGAAAAAAAGAACAGAAGTTGGTAGAAACTCTCCTGGACTCTTCCAACATTAGTCAATCTAAAAATTGCATAATAAATAAGGCATGCAATGACTGCATGTTTTACGATGAAATCATCACGCAAATGTTATTCTTATGTCGTCATTATAAACGACTAAAATCATATGTTTGTTCTTTGATTTCAAAATACAAGATGACAGGTAACCAGACGAAAACAGTGCAAAACACGTCATATAATTTACATCAGTATTAACATTCTTTCGTCCTGTGGGAAATATTTTTCATCTGACGAATATTATGTAAGAGAGAAAAAACCAACGTGAATGGATGAGTCAATTTCATTAGAATTTAATATTCTTCGCCGAAAAGCATTTCATCGATACCCTCGTGAGACAGGTGTGGGTGTGGGTGGATATGCGAGTGAGTTCGAGTGGGTACTGACAGGACATGTACACCCACACTCACACTCACAACCACAGCCACAACCACACTTCACACCCACACCCCACCCAGACCCGCATAGCTACATAAGATGCATACACTGTGCATGCAATGATTTGCTTCAGTGATTTGTGCATACAAAATAACATCGAAACATATTCATACTTGAAAAAATCGGCAAGCACAAAGTAGTAGAAAAAAAATTAAATTACTTTTTATCTTGACGAATGTAATATATTGTATTCATGTATATATAAACAAAAAGTCTCACAGCAAACAATTTCGATATATATTGTCATACATAGTTGATACAAGTCAATACCATCACCCACGGTTAAAGAAATACTTTATATTAACTTTTCAAGCGGGATAGCACATAGTTCAGGTATTTAGTGGGACACTTGAGGGTGGATGTGGGTGTGGGTATAAGTGAAAAGAAGACACACACTCCACACCAATACCTTCAGACTAGATTGTTTTCATAGAGAAAAGCTACATCTTCCAAGAGAAGAGAAGGAAAAAAGATAATGACAATAATTTATACAGATATAACATTGAAACATATAAAAAATATATCGGTGGATGAAAAGGATCAAATTATCTATGTTTTATGTCAAAAATATTTTTAAGTACGCTTCTCTTTTTTTGGTATTTTTCACTTAGAAAACTTTCATTTGTAAAAATGTACACGCTTGGTCAGTGATGAAATATTGGATTATCGCTATTTTTTTAATGAATACGAAAATAATCCAACTGGAAGCGCCAATAAGACATGTAAGAATGTGGATATGGGTGTACCTGAGAGAAGAAGATCCACACCCGCATGAATAACTACTGAAAGCGTCTTTGAAATGTTCGACGTGAAATTATGTTATTTAATAATAGACAAAAAAAAACTAACATGATATTAACAATAGTATTGAGCGTTCTTTCAATAGCAACTCTCTAAATACTATGTTACTAATATGTTTCTCGATGTTCGTTG